CCGCCCGCCTTCAACCCCCGGCGGCCGAAGCGGCACCAGGCGGCAAAGCCCTCCGAGTTGCGCCAGCACAGCTCGCGGTCCTTCAGGCCCACCTATGGCGAGCCGTTTGAGCTTTTATATCCAGATCCTTCACATCCACATTAAGGTCCATGTAGTATTACGCCTTTTGTCCTCACTAGCAGGACAACTAATTCATACTAGTGAGGAAGAACCGTTTCAAAATAGTTAATTGGAAGCAACAAGATGGTGCCAAAGCAATGCTTTTGTCCAAATGAAGCCCCTCAACTCCACCATAGTTGCTTTGTACCAAGATGCAACAAGATTGGAGGCAAAGCAAATGAACCTCGTCATCTCACTTCAACATAGTTCCTTGGCGCCAAACACACAAATACGAAATGGTAACACTTTGCGAGGGACACGGAGACAACGCTAACACGGAACTAACAACGTCTAGGTATGCGACAACTGAATTGTTTCCGCCATTTTTTGGTCAGGCCATTTTCATGTGATCACGTCACGCATGTCCTAAGAAAAATGCGGTCTGCCTTGTTAAAAATGCATTTCCTGCATCTACTTTTGGATATTATGTAATGTGGAATCTTCTTCTACGCCACGATTTCAATGTGATGATTTTCATGCAGTATTTCGATAATTAGCGCAAACATGGCAAGATAACTCATCTACTAACCACGCAAAAAGTGTTGAATGTTGGAACTTTTATATCACCTCAAACAACACAATTTTGATGTGCCGGGGTCATGCGGACAAAGTTTAATCAAATCTGTACACTGTGGAAGAAAATTCTACACTATGGTAAAGTTATGTCGCCTAACTTAGACGGGAGCCATCCATCGGGATAACCCAACCATCCTTTGCCAGAGATGTTGTAGGTCAGGAATCTCCGGTCGCCAAATAAACGAAAGGCAGAGGGGGCGGGGGGTATCGCACTGCAAAATCTGCTTTTATGGCACACGTCGTTCCCTATGCTTATCGTATCGCACTGCAAAATCTGCTTTTATGGCACACGTAGTCGTTCCCTATGCTTATAGCAACTCAAAAGGCTTCTCTTTGCTCTTACATGTCGCGAAACAGTTGAACACCGCTTGGCACAGACTGAGTCAGAGACCATTCTAGTGTAACAATGGAGAACGTTATCTATATTTTTGCCCGCTTTTTGAAACTTTCAAAATGTCAAAACCTGCTCATTAACATTTTGACAAATTTAAAACACAGTTTTTGTCTTTTATTCCTGCTCTTTCCGGTGACACTGCTCTTTCTGGAGTAAAAAATAAAATTTTGTTCTCACGTACCTACGATGTGCTGAATCATCAACAGGATATCATTCAGTAGGCCACGCCACAGAGTCACAACTCAAGAATACACGACAATGTGTGCGTGAATTTCATGTTATATTTCATCTTATGAATAACTGTTTTTGCATGTGACAAAACAATGCTGGTTTTTGTTCATTAAAAACATTCCCAAAAAGGTTTGTGTGTGTGTGAGTGTGTGTGTGTGTGTTGGGGGCGAATTGATGTCATTTCACCTCATTTTAATATGGAAAATTGATATGATAAACGGGTGAATGTAGTTCGAGTGAATTCAAATGAAGAGATGACTGCACAAGAACATGGACCTTAAGATGGACGTCGAGGATATGGAGAAAAACGCTCAAACGGCATTTGACACATACCTGCTCCAGGGCGCTCTGCACCACCACCTCCGGGTCTCGGGCTCGGAATTTGTACCGCTCGTTGACGATCCGGCAACGTCTCCCTCGGCCGGCGTCCGTCAGGAAGGCGCTTTTCACCTCGGCTCGGTGCAGGTGGACCACCTGGAAGTCGCCCACGTACACCGCCCAGTGCGGGTACTGGCCGCCTGCCACGAACTCCACCAAATCGCCGGCGCGACACTTGTTGAGCAAGTTCTCCGGCGAGTACACTTCCAAAGAGGACGCCCGGCGACTCTTCTCGTACACGCACTCGTCCAGCTTGTATACGGCGCATTCCACCTCCTCCCGCGGGTCGAACGGCGTTTCTTCCGGGTTGGAGTTCGGCTGGGTCCCGTCCGCCGCCGCCTCATTATCACCACCTCCACCCGGTTCGTCCTCGTCGTCCTCCCCACCAGAGAAAATGTACGAGACGCCGATACGAGGACCATCGTCCCGGTCCACGCCGTGCGGGTCCGCGGTGGGAACTTCGGCGTAACTTAACCGCTCCATGTGGTTCCCCATTCGGGCGAACAACAGGTCCGATAACCGGGAGTCAAAATTTCGCCATTTGGGCAAATTTGAATCCGAATTACACAGCAAAAAGTGTGTAAAAAAAGGAGGTAATGACTTAGAATTCACGCCGCCACCCCTTTTGTCCTCCACAGGTGTTAGCGACTCACCTGAGCGTCTTTTCCGCAGTCAAATTTGGCGTGCAGGCGTCAATGAAATTCGCACAATTTCATGCCAAAAGCGGTCCAGTCAGTGTGGTCCGGTCCGGTCCGACCGGGTTGCCAAGCAGGCTCGCGTCCTCCTCGCCACTCGCCCCTCGATGAGGTTCACGTGCGGTTCCCATCAAGCCCTCAAAATCCTTGCCTCCTGACCGGAAGTGAGTGAAACGAGTGCCCGTTAAAATAAAAGTGAAGAGCGGAAACGGACACAGAAATGAATAGTTACTTTTTTTCGTTGCGTTTTTACTAGGATGGTAACCGTGATGGATAAGTATTTATTGCAAACAGTAGTTTTGTTCAAATAAAAGTAATGCATGGCAATGCACAACAATAACACCATAAACTTTAAATGCAAAGGCTAGTGGTATGTAGCTGTACAGAATTAAAACTGCTCCCTAAATAAAGTTGAGTAGAAGTGGTATAATAGGGGTCTGACCAACTCAGTGGAGATGCTAACAGGCGGCTGCCAGGATGGAGTCCAGTTGCGTAAGCCGTCTACCGTAATTTCTTTTAAATTGAGTAGGCACTTAGTAGCATATCATTTTGATGAGGTCCAGCTCCGGCAAGCTGTCTAATGGCATCTCTTTTAAATTGGCTCAAGTTGTGGTGGCTGCTTGCCAGTGTCTCCGCCGACTAGCGCGTTTTCTACATTGGGTATAACTCTGCTGGCTGTCTGCTGTCAGATTTTTCTATCTAGAAGAGGCTCTAAACGGCAGTTAGCAAAAAGTGGACCTGACCCAGCAGAGGTGCTAGCAAGTGGCCACCTGATCCACAAGAGATACGACCAGACAACAATCTGAGCTGGACCTCATCAAAAAGAGATGCTAGCAGGCACCAAGCACCTTCCTTCCTCCTTATTTGTACAACTCTCGAAGGTGAACAAGTGCATTCTACAGGCAGATGGACGCTTCCGGAAGCGCGCTATGCCGCACCATCTGTTCCCCCACAATGTCGTAATGTCACCTTGGCTCTAAAATGCAAAGTCAGGAATACAAACGAAAGCCAGAGTCAGGGAGAAACCCGTTTAATTCCTTTTTATATACATCTTCATATACATGTTTATTATAAGATGAGCAGAATGTAATTCATATTTTTTTCCATCATCATCATCATCATCTTTGTAATAATTAAACCATTTAAAGGAGCTACAACAAAGATGTCCGAAAAGAGAGGCTGATATAGAAAACTAACATCTGTAAACACGAGTGGATGTTGGCTTCATGAAGACTGACAGTGTTCCAGGGAGAGCTCTTGTTGTTTCAAGGAAGTGTGCAGTATGGACACACACCCCGAGTGGATGTACACGCACAAACAGTTCCAAAGTTGCCATGCTTGAACGAGATTGTGTGGGGTTTTTTTTTCATTGCTTATTGATAAAAACATAAACATACAGGTCGAAATCTTCGGAAACACAACAGAAATTATGCTAATGCTAACAAAAGTAAACGATGCCATATTTTCAGACACATGTGGTCTGAACTCACCCAGAGGTGAAAACCCATCCAGATGGGAAACAGCAGATGGTTAACCAATCCAGATGCTGCGCTAGCAGGGGGCTACAACAGCTGAATTCCACCTTGAAGAGATGCTAGCAGCCAACTTTCACAGCTGGACCTAATCAAGAAGCTCAAACAGGCATCTACACAATCACAGCTTGACTTGATTGAGGCAGCTACCCGATCCAAATGGGATGCAAAAGAGAGGTTATTCTCGCCGCATATGATTGAGAAGATGTGCTAGCAGGCAGCTACCAGAGCTGGACCCATCTAGCTATCTTATCAAGATGAGACACTGGCAGGCAGCGACACAGAGCTGGACCCGGACCAGTCGGGGTGTTAGCAGACGGCTGCCACCGCTGGACTCAACCAAGAAAAGCCGCGAGGAGTCAACCACCAGAACTGGATTCACATCTAGAAGACATGCTAGCAAGTGGCTTCCTGATAGAGAAGAGATGCTCGTAGGTGGCTACTAAAACTAGACACCATCTAAGAGAAATACTAAGAGGCAGCTACCAGAGCTGGATCCAGTCCAGAAGATGCAAGAGGAGCTGGATCCAATCTAAACAAGGAGCTTGCTGGTGCTTATCTGGTGCAGAAATTGTGCTAGCATTTAGCTACACCAGAGTTGGATCCCATCTGGAAGAGATGCTAGCAGGTGGCTACCAGAGCTGGCCCCCGGACTCCAAGAGGCGCAAGCAGATACCAGAACTGAACCGGATGGCAAAATGGTCCCAGCAGGAAGTTAACACTGTTGGACCCAATCAAGACGAAATGCTAGCAGGGAGCTATCTGAGCTGGACCTGATGCAGAGGAGGCGCCAGCATTCGGCAAGACTGGATACCAACTGTCAGGATTTTCTGCTACTGCTCTTTTTATATCAGTTTCACTCATGGAAGTTGGAATGTGACTTTGTGATAAGGCGCAAAAAAATAAAAGTAAAAATGAAAAAAAAAAAAGGATCAAAAATTTAAAACCACACCAAAACAAGTCATAATTAAAAAAACAACAACAAAAAAAGTCTTTGGTGCTCTCAAACTGAAAGGAAAAAAATGAAAGAAGCCACTTTTGATCCACAGTAAGTACTGCACAGTGCAAACAATTAACACCTCCCCTCAAAGGAAAGGATTTTCATGCATCGCATCACTAAACATGACACTACAGTCGGTCTTGGGGCTGGGGGTGACTTTTGGAACACTGATACCACATGAAAAGGGGGACGGGGGGGTTCCACTAAACATCAACTGCGGTAAGGGGTGGAGGGCAAGCTAAGTGTGTTATCTTGCCTGGTGGTGTCCTAGCGCTTGTGTTTTTGGTGGGGATCCTGAAGCTAAAAGGCCCTTGTTCAATGCCGGGCCGGGATGCAAAATTAAGGGTGGATGACGGTGGTCGGAGAGGGGTTCTACGTGGACTGGTCGCGCTGCAGGGCTGTGATGTCCAGAGGAGGAGGGGCCCGCCCGCTCCACTCCCGCAGCTGCCCTTCCTTGTAGAGGAGGTTGATGGCCGGTAGAGGGACGCCCGATTCGGCCGGGGGCTGACTGAGAGGATTGGTCACCCCGCTGTCCGGCTCGCAGGGTGGACCGCCATCCTGACCCATAACAACAAGGTGAAATGATCTAAATTGTATGCGTCCAGTGCCGAATGATCATAATCCTTATCAGGATTCTGCAAAGCTTGCTTGAAGTGCCAACTATTTGAATCAGATGTGCTGGAGGAAAACATCTCAAACATGCATAGCTCCAATCCTGATTGGATCCAAATTGTGTGTTTACACTGAATGTGAAACCAATTGGGAACTTGTGGAGTATCGGATGACATTTCTGATGTCTTTCTGCAAACGTTCAATCACTGACAGAGGTCCGAGTGAGCATCCCTTACCTGAAACGACTGGACGAAGCTCAGCACCTTAAGGGACAGCTTCCGGCTGGAGTGAAGCAGCTCTTGCAAGCTGTGCAACAAGAACTAGCGTGAACACCGCGCCGCTTCCATTCAAACAAAATAAACCCATCAATCAATCAAGTGAGGCGCCACCTGTCGCTGCCGCATAGCTTGTGGGCGGCGATCTTGCGGCACACCTTGCGGTTGAGCTCGGAGCTGAAGAGCGGCATGCCGAAGCACAGCTCCAGGGGAACCCACTCGTCCTCGCATGAGAGGGCTAAGAATGGCAAACAAAGATTGGCATGCGTTTTGGTTGTCAACTTTGGTGGCTTTGATTCGTTTGATGTACTGTCTGTCTTGGCTCGTCCGTCTCCGTTGTTCTCTTCCGACACCAGTTCGAAGGACTCAGTGCTGCCGTTGGTGTCCAAGCCTCCTCCGAGGTGAGTGTCTCCTGAAGATAAGAGGAAGCGCATCGAATCTTATGGCGTTATGGCAAGTGGCTTCTCACGTGCACATACGAGGACTGTCCCCTGCATACATTTTATTGATTAGAGTTTATTTGCTATTTTCAAGATAAGAAAAGGTAAGAAATCCTTTCTTGTCTGACAATGGACATTTTCCATGTGGCTACTGGCTCAGGAACCAATTTCAACCTAGTTCTGTGCTACATTGTGTGTTTACATAGGATCCTGAACATCCAATTAAGGATCAATAGAAATTTTCCCAACATATCATATAAAATGAAAACAATTTCAAAGATGATCTATTTCAAATTGTAGGTTCACGTTGAACATTGGCTACCAAATCTCCCCAAATCAATTTTATATTTTATATTGAATTCTGTACTGTGTACAGTTCATTTATTTTGTGCATGCCAATACTTCATTTTTCCCCCCTTTTTTTTCTACTTTCTTCCCTCCAAATTTTGCTGCTGTTTATTGCGAATTTCTAGTCCAAAGTGGGAATTTAAAAAAATATATATTTTCATCATATTTATGACAAAATCCTTCATTTCCTTCAGGTGTTCTGTCCAATGTAAACATACGATCAGAGGTTGAATTGGTTTTCGACCCTATATGAACAAAGCATGTTCAATTCACTTTGACACATTGTTATGGAACGAGAGATTTTGACTGTAAGCGGAGGGCTAGAAAAAAAATGAGCCAATAATTTCCAAAATCAGACCTCTTGAGAGGAAAAAAAAATAAGTTTTTTTTAAATTCATCTGTCCCAGCCCTTTGGCCCACATTACATAATCAGTATACCTTACCTCTGCACTCGATGGTGTCGCTGGGCCGGCGCCGGTGTCTGTTGTTGGCGTTGAGCATAGTGATGTAGCCACACTGGTGCTCCAGGTCCACGTGCTCGCGCAGTTTGCGTAGCGCCTTGTGAACGCACATGTTGGCGTAGGAGAACTCTAACAAACACAAAATGTCAAGTCATAAAAAAACATTTTTGGGACTGTCATGATTTCCTAAGACAGGCAACAGGTTTGAGATTTGGATCAGTTGCGAAATACGGAAGTAGGAGTTAATTCTTTTTGTTTTCATTGTTGTCCTGAATGAGCTTCATTTTAAAAATGAAATGTTTTGAATTGGTGGAGAAATGTGGAGGAGGGAAATGAACAGAATGGTGAGATTTTTTTGTTTTTGTTTTTTTTGAGCAACTGACCTCCCTTGAGGTCCTCCTCATCAAAGGGGAACGGGATGTGTACAGTTTCGCCATGGCCGTGCATGCCGTGACCCTACGACGCGTGCGCACAAACACCATTTCTTAACGATGAGCACATTAAATACCGTGATGGATGTCAATCAAGATTTTTTGGACAGCTTAGACCCTTTCACCTGGATGAGAACGGCCGAGTGCGTGAGAGCGTCGTTGAGCATGGCCAGCACGTTGGACGTGGGCACCACGCCAGGATCGTGGCCCCAGGACGTGATCAGCAACCTGTCGTAGACCTGACAACACAACACAGTCCCAACAGGTTTTATGAAAAGAGGTTTAAGTAGGTCAATTCTTTTGTTGTTTTGTTTTTTTGCTGCTTTGAAGTGACCCAATTCCATGAAATTACCTCCACCTCTCCCCACTCTTCCACGCCTCCTCGCCCACTCCTCCTCCCCTCCCTCACATTCCCCGGATACTTGAAGAATTCCCGTGAGAGACTTCACCTGGAAGATGTCGGGCAGCTTACGCAGCCTGGAGCCTTTGGAGAGCAGCAGCGAGGGCGGGCCCTGCCCCGTCACATGGTACAGGTAGAGCTTGAACCAGATGGAGCTTACTTCGGGGATGGCGGGCCCGATGTGCTACAGCCATAAAAAAAAAAAAATTTAAAAACACGCACGAGTCTAAATGCAAAACTTCGGGAAGCCCTTTTATGATGTTTCCTGAGGAAAGAAGTTTGAGCCTGAGCATCACGTCACCTCCCTCTGCCGTTGCTATGCCACACTTTTCGTATAGTCCGTTAGAGGCGCACAGAGGATTAAAGATGGTCGTAATATGGTAGATTAGAAATGCGCAGACTATTAAAAATGGTAAAAATGTTAAATTATGTGCGCGAGGTTTTGGTGGTACCGCGAGAGAAGGTTTCGGAGGGGCGTTGAGGAGATATGTGCATGTTGTAATGGTGAAGGAGTCTTTCTCAAAATCATTTCTGGTTATCAAGTTATGAGAAAAGACATTCCAGGCACACAGACCATTAAATATGGGTCATACATTAGGAGGTCCACAGACCCGTTTTTGTAGCTTAAAGGTGCACGGACCATTGAATGGACATAGACTATTTAATATATTACATGAGAGGTGCACAGACATTTAAGTGCAATGGAAATGTTACATTAGGAGGTATACTGAATACCAGGCCAAAGTACAAAGTGAAAAAAACCCAAAATACACGTTGAATGACATGTAAAAAAAAAACATGAGAAAAAAAAAAAAAGTATTACGTGACGATGACAGTCGACCAACATGGTCGTCGATGGGGCGTACCTGAGGCGTGCAGCTGCTGATGGGTCTGATCTCGTTGCTCAGCGGCGCCATGGAGACCAGTAGCTTGTAGTTCTTGTTGAGCACGCGGCTGCAGGTGGCCTGGTCCAAACCCAGGAGGCTCTCGCAGCGCAGCATATCCAGGGGGAAACCTGGTGGCGTATCCAATACCGATCGAAAGCAGTCTTGGTAAGGACCGATGTGCCCAGCGGCCGAAAGCAAACAAACGGTATCTACAGGAATACGGTAGTAACGTGCTAACTCGTGGGCGTTGCTCAGCCGTCCCGGAAAGCACTCGCATGCACTTTTGCTCGAGAACAAGTCTGAAAAACAACATCAAGGGTCAGATCCAGGTTGCCTCAGCACTTTTTTGTGGCCCACTGAATTATAGAATGAGCCCACTTCAAAGAATCATTTCTTCTTGGGGCGAGCATTTTTTTTCCACCAATCCCCTTTCATGTACCCTGGAACCTGATAACATGATAAGCTGTCCACTAGGAACCGCCGTCCCTGAAAGGGTTAAACTAGAGACGTGTCCTAACGAGGAAAATGAATTTGACAACAAACAACTTGCGCACCCTCCTGAGGGCATCACTTATTTTTGACAGGCGGCTGCTTGCGCAAACAGATCGACGGCAAACAGTCCTCAAGGTATACTGTACCGATATTTGGGATATCAGGTCCCTGGTCCTGAGTGAGTTCCTTGTTGTAGCGCAGAAAGAGGATGGTGTTCTTTAGGGTGAGGGCGTGGTCAAAGTAGCGCTGCGCCTCGCCCTCTGCTGTGCTTTCCACCTGCGCGGCCGCAAAAAGAACCAAAACAGCAACAACGTTTTTGTTTGGCTTTGCCGCTGTTGTTCCAAGCGACGCTCGAGCGCGTTTTTGTTCACCTTCTCCAGCTCGGCCAGGAAGCTGTCCAGCGTCTCGTCGGAAAGCTTGCCCACTTCAAACATGGTGACGGCGTGACTCTTGAGGTTGGGCGACAGGTTGCCCATCATGAGGAAGGCGGTGAGTGTGGAGTCGAACAGGAAGGCGATCCGCTTGGTGGGCGCCGCGGGGATGCTCAGGCTGCTCACGCTGCCCGTGTCTGCTGTACAAACACGCACACGGTAAACAAAAACAAAAAAAAAAAAAACATGCAAAGTGTAAGCACATGTGCATGTAATCCAGCAGACCTTGGTCCTCCAAACTGGTGGTGTCCGTGTCCGTGGCCGAGGATCCTCCCTCCATGACGGGGCTGCCTTGCTCCCAGGACAGCAGCATCTTCTGAGGGTCCATAGTGCTTCTGGTGATGTACAAGACAAGTCAGAATGGCCCCCCTCCTCCTCCTCCTCCCCAAAAAATAAATAATCCTCATCCGGGTCTTCCCGAGCCATACTTGAGCCTATTGAGGGAGGGCGCGTTCTTCCAGGTAGCGTGTAGCTGCTCGGAGCTGATCACCTGACCTTTCTTCAAAGCGAAGCCCAGACGGCAGTACATGGACACGGCGTTCTGGTCACAACGCAAAATTGGATGAACAAACTTTGTCCACTAACGCTTGTCCACGAGGGTGAGCGCTCACCTTCACCAAGTCCAAATCGATCTCCAAAACGGTTGCCAGCTGGAGGAGGGAACACGAATGAGACGGGACGAGCGAATCTGGTTGTGTGATCGAAGGGACGCGTCCTACCTCCGCTACGTTGGTCTGCTCGTCGATCGAAACGAAGATTTTGTACAGCAGCGTCTCAAAGTAGTCACCCTGGACACGGTTCATAACAAAGCCCTCCAACGGGGGCACTGTGGAGGCACAGACAGGGCAAAACTGGCATCAAAACAGGGGGAACTAAACCAGAAATTGGAAGAAACCTACTACTGATAGAAATGGACAAAAAAAACAAACTATGAGAAGAAGCCCTCCTCCCCACAAAAAAAAAAAAAAACAAAAAAAAAAAAAACTTATTGAACTCATTCACTCCCAAAGATGTTTTTAAACGTCTTCAGACTTGGTCCAGAATTGGCTGGTACTGAATGAGTTAAAAAATTGTGTACCACCGCCTACAGTTTGAATAGCACAAAAACAGAAGCGGCACATATAGTGAAAGCCAACACACCAAATCAGTGAAAACCAACAAAAAATGACCGAGAAGCAGTATCAAGTCAGTGAGAGCTGGCAGGATGGGGGAAAAAAAAAAGTCGGAAATATTCCCAAAACAGTGAGGAGCAGCACAAATATTGTGGAAGCACGAATAAACAGTCGTCACCATTCCGGTGAGAGTCTGGACAAACCTGAGATGCAGCTGTCGTCCGATATGGGAACGTCCAAGTAAATAAAGCCCCGATTGTACAAACCTGAACATAAAAATCACAACAATCTTAAAAATACAACAACAACAACAAATTTGGATGCGTCATCAACAGTTAGCATCCTCACTTAGCACCACGTTGTACTCCATCGATCCAGCCAGCTGAGGTCCCGAATCAATCATCTTATCAATGGCTTTCTTCTCCGCTGAGGAGCAGATCTGCGATGACGCAAATGGCGCGTGAGTTCACCTGCGCGCGTGGGGCGTCGTCGTGCGGAAAGGCCCGCGCGCGTCCTCTTACCCTGATGTCGTCCTCGGTGATGTAGCCCGTCTGCGCCACCCACCACGGCTCCACGGAGATCTCCACCGGTTTGGACGGGAGAAGATCCCGCGCCGATTTCCGGCGGAAGAATTTCTGAAGAGGAGGTGAAGAGTTAATAGGCGCACCAAATTTAACCAGAAAACAGAAACAGTACATACAGTGAAACTCCTCTACAACGAAATCATGTTTGCAGCAAGAAATTTTTCACAACAGGGGGTTTTTCACTGTAGCAAATTTGATTTCAGATGTAAACAAAGAACGAAGCAGTAGAGGTCGCTGTTGGATTTGACTTCGTTTTCGTGAATTTCGTTGCGAGGCAAGAGCAGAGAAAGAGATTTCGTATCACGCAACAGGGTTTTTTTTTCCTTGTATGGGGGGCAGGAAAGTGGGAATGGTGTTAAAGCATTTTTTCACACTAGGGGTTATTTTCGCCCATGTAGGTTTTGTTGTAGAGGAGTTTCACTGTAATGGCTCACTGCACTGATTTTACTGTGTTTAATAAATTTAAATTGAAAGAATTTTACAGCGGCCTTCAATAGAAAAAGTGTGGACAGATTTAACACAGCATAATACGTTTTAGTACACGTCTCACTTTGGACGAGCGGCACTGGTTCATCAGGTCGATGTACTGGTTTCTTCCGATTCCAAGCAGCCTCAGACCTGCGTCGCCACATGACATGACGATAAGCCACATGACGAAGAAAAATTAAGATATTTGAAATCAGCACAAATAGAACGTGACTTGCGCAGTGCGGGAGAGCGAAAACTCACAGTCAGCGGCGGTGAAGTTGGGCAAGGAGTCGTAGCTCTTCTCGCTGTTCATGATATCCTGGAGGTGAAACCAAGAGAAAGGAGCAGACAAAAGAGTGAGACTAAAAATTAACGGTAACAAAAAAGACGACACGGAACAAGGATTTTTTTTTCCCGCAACCAAGTGCTGGAAAAGTGCATTCTTCTGAATGAATAAGCCATTTGTCTTGGGAAATGCCAAAGAAGGAAACGCGTCGGTCCACTTGCATGAGTGGCATTGTTTTCCCCCAGCAGTTAGCTCTGACTTGACTTGACTTGACAAAATGGATTTCAAGTGAAGGCTTACCTCCATGATTCCCACGTAGTAGGAGAAGGGCGTGACGCGCAGCCCCTTGACCACGATGTCCGACAGGTGGTAAGGATACAGCATCAGGTGGTCGCGGCTGTACTTGAGCAGCTCCTCGTAGTACTTGCGCTCGTCCTTGCGCACGTGGCGGACTGCGGGTGCAAAAGGGAAAACCGATTGCCAAACAAGCTACCAGGAGGTTGAAACACATGCAGAAACAAACAAACAAACATAAAAAAACGCTCACCTAAGTTATTGCGGAATCGCAGCTGGTTGCGGATGCTGTACAGCAAGACATGTTTCTCGTACTCACGCTGAGAGTTGCCTAAGCTCTGCCAAAAAAAAAAAAAAAGGAGAAAAAAAATTATATTAAGCATCCTTCACTTCAATTTGAATTATGGATATCTGCAATCTCCAACTTCAGTTGGAGAGGCCGACAATTTGATTGTGTCTCGTCATAATTCCAGTTGAAGTCATATTTCATTCAAGATATCTACACTGACACATATCTGGAATTTTAAGTTTGAACTGACCGACAGGCGTAATTAATTGACTTGCAGATGTCTGGAACAGAATTGCAAGATATGGATCATGAGGAACCCCGTACACGTATAGGAAAGAAGTGACCTTTTTGACAAGGCAAAAACGTTTTTTGTTTTTTTTTTTTGACAATTCCGTGACTGCTATCTTAAAGGAGCTCACGGCAAAAAAAAAAAAAAAAAACCCGCAACACTATATTCAAAGTGCCCCCATTAGTCAAAACACCATATGGTATTATAAATAATATTGCTTTATGAAATAAAAATTATGCAGATTGATTAATCAATTTTCATCAATTTCAGGGGACTCCCATTTTGACCTTTGACCCTCTGCTGTCGACTGACATTGACTAAGTGCTCTCCAGCTCGCATTTTGTGACTGTCACGTGACCCAACAGAGAAAAGAGGTGAAATGAAAATAATCAAATGAGTCGCTCTTAATTCTTATTCCGCGAACAGAGAAAACAGTGGGGCAAAGAACATTTCCCTCTTCAGTTCCCCATTTATGGTTCAATTCTTCCCTGGTGTATCTTTGTGATAGCAGCAGCTATGTTATCTTGATGGTGGTCGTTGGCTGGCCGGCTGCCTGCTTCTCTCGGTGACATTGACAGCTTCACCCCCACCACCACCACACGGATGCGGTCTCCTGTCACGAGTCACTGGCTTTGAAGTTGTTTTTTTTTTTTTAAGCGACGTACCTGTTTGACATTAGCCGGCAGCTTATTCCACGGATAATTCTGCCTGATGTGGAATTCCACGTCCGTGTTCATGGCAAGCTAGTTAGCTAGCGAGCTGGCTGGCTGGCTAGAAGCCCCTGGGACGATGAGACGCTGGTCCACGGTGACCAGGGACCACCAGTGACACCCCCCGCACAGTCCTCCAAGCCACTGTCGCCTCCTCGCCGGTAACCGACAACTGAGCGAAGCGACGTCCGGTTCGCGGAGTGTCGTTTCGCCTTGTCTTGAGTCTCCGTCCTGGAGGCAGGCAATCAGTGTACGTCCACTTCCTTGTTGTAGTTCCAACGGCGGGAGGCGTCACGCTCTTGGATAAAAACGTCACTTCCGTCCACCCTTCACGGGACGAGCTCGAGACGCATTCTTTTCCAAATTAAACGCAATTGTTTTATTTTCACTCATAACAAAGAAGATCAGTCATGGAGGACTACAAAAATCCGACATTATTGTTGAGAAACTGAAATTACGGGTATTTGGTCAATTTTAATCTTTAAAAAGTAGCTAAACCATTTATAAATTCTCAAAAATTCCTCGATTAATAATTTAATTGATAAAATAATCGATTACTTGTCAGCTAACTATTTCTTCATTACTTAAGTCATTTCAGTCACTAAGTGAAACAATAGGTAAATTTCAGGACAACAAAAATGGTAATTGAAAACTACAATGACACATATTCAATTGTAAAGTAATAGGAATGTAGTAAAATACCTTACAGGAAAGCAAAAGTATTACCATTTTTTTCTGTACACGTTTTTTTCAGGGACTTTCAGGGACGTGGTATACTGTATATATTTTTGGGATAAGAGTAAAATTACTGGACAAAAGCGTTTGCGCGTGTTTTCTAAGAAAAAAAGTTCTCACAACAGACGTTGTGCCACCAGGGGTCGTTAAACACCTGCGTGGACAAAAACGCTCAAAAAAAGAGATAGATGGATGATAGCTGGATAGGCCGATAGAGGACATCTAAATAGGTTTAAAAAATAATATAAAAAAAATAAAGTCACATTTATTTGCCCGGTTTTATTTTTCCCCAGACTTTTTTGAGAGAGAAAGAGAAAAAAAAATTAATCACGATACTTTTTACACCACCAGAGGTCATCAAAATGATCCAGATTATTCAGATTTGTCATACATTTTTACGAAAAGACTTAATAAAACAAAATAAGCATTGCAGTTGTAATATTTTTTAAAATATAATTGATGTCATTTGTTTTAATAATCATAATAAATGCTCTTGCGATGCGTGGGCCCGGTCTCAATCGGCGGACGTCACAGTGCGTAAAGCCGAACAGCTTCACCAGGGCCCGCCAATGACCACGGTCATGAGCCAGGTCCGCTGCGTCCTCCAGGGTCAGCCCCTGATGCTGGAGATCCTCCCTGATGACATCAAGCCATCTGGTGTGGGGTCCGTCGCGTGGCCTTTGCCAGCCGGCTGTAGCTGGGTCGAATGAAAAGGGGTAATCGGAAGAGATGTCCAAGCCAAAGGATGCGGGGGGGGGGGGGGGCGGAAGGCTACGTTTTCGGGGGTCTGAATTGGTAACATGGAGGGGCCAGCTGATGTTCATGACGGTTCTGAGTGACCTGCTGTCAAAGCCATCGATCCTTTTGGCCAGGGTCGTTTAAAGGCGAGGATTCTGCACCATACAGGAGAATGGGAAGAAATTGGGAACCACTCTTGAGTCCTGAACATTCATACGAACACAGCTCCCTGAGTTGTTGTAGTCGCTGGAACAACGTGGTTATTTTGGGTGGAACTCCATTTGTTCTACGTCTTTTTTTATGTACAGCATCAGCTGTTTTTTAAGTGCTGTATAAGTCATGTTGAAATCACAATATTGCCAGAATAAAGCTGTATATTCCAGTTTAAAAAAATAATTAAAAAAGGGGGAAAGATGTAAACCACGTTTATGCCTATTACACATTGTGAGTCAAATATAAGAAATCAGTTTTTATTGTAATTTCTTCCATTAAAAAAAAAAAAAAGACAAGCATGCACACCAGAGCCTAAAAATTAGATCAGGTTTGATGGGAACATGAACGTCATTGTAGAACAGGACCAGCTTGTTTTGTTGTTTAAGTTGAGTCACAAAAGGTCATTAAATCGTCTTCAACAATCAGGTTTGCTTTGCAAGAATGGAGAAACCCTGCCTGGGCTAGAAAAAAAAAAGAAAAAAAAACAAGACAAAAGTCCAACATAAATACTTAAATATAAGACACATTTTTTTAAACACATAAAAGACTTTGATTTGACAAACATTTGATCCTCATAAAAGTTGAATTCTATCTGTAGCGTTTTGATCTATACAGCATGTACAACAATCAGAGCAGTCATGAAAACAGATAAAGAAGCCAGAGCGCCCACCGAGGAGTACAGTACCGTAGCACTCGATGCAAGTACACTATGTACAACTAGAAAACATTCAGAAAACAAACAGCAGTTTGGCCCCAGGTACACTTTTCAAAAAGCAGCGTTAAAAACAAAACAACAAAAAAAGTTTCAGAAATACAAAAACAAATTGGGGAAACCCTGCAAATGAGAAGTACTTAAAATATTGTTGGCGTAATCAGGAAAATCTCCACTCTTCAAAATCACTTGGTGTAGTCTGGCTATTTTTTAAAATATTTGGAATTATAGGCTGATTAAAATAAAAAAAAAAAAAAATTCAAAAAGGTAGAAAGCATTTCCACCATCAGAGAAGTACAGCAAATTATTTGGTGTGATTGGAAACTTCAGTGAGAACAACTCCATTCTGGAACTGCCTTCTTCGTCATTTCCAGTAATGAGCAAAGTAGTCCAAAAATCATCATTTGGTATAATTTGAATGTGTGTGTGTTGTGGAGATACAGTGGCTGAAAACAAATTCTTCAAATGGGAGTGTGGGGTGATTAAAAGCTCAAATCTAGGAAAAATCTGGAATTCTCTTTTTAACGATTTCCATGACGAGACATGGTCAACAAATTCAGATTTTGCGTCACTGGATGAATGAAAAAGAAATGCGGTATGGGGAAAAAAAAGGGGGCTGATTTGGTAAGAGAGAGAAGTCTGAGGTGGAGGGAGACAACCTGAGGGTGGCGACAATCGCTTGTTGTTCCTGAGTGCTACGTGGAAAACTTGCGGCGTTGGGATTGGACGCTATGTACAACCTTTTTTTGTCCAACATTCCTTCATTCATTCGGATTTTACATTCTCCGACGCTTTCTTGAGCGAGGGAACTGACTTTGGCGAGCGGGGAGAGCCCGGCGACGCGTTGTTGCGTTTCCCCTCCGTCTAAACCTCGTGGATGGGGATGCGAGGCGAGGGCCGGAAGTCGACGGAGGCCGACGAGCTGCGGTAGAAGGAACGACTCTGGCGGTGGAGGCGCGCCCGCTTGCTGGCCGCGCACAGGCTGCGCTTGCTGGACGAGATGATCTCCGTGATGAACTTCTTGCAGTCCACGCACACCTCCATGGCGGCCCAGTCCTCCGTTAGCTCCTTGGGGAGGTCCAGGTCACCTCGTGCCGGAGGGGTGGCATCATTCTCGGCGTCCTTGTCCGACTTGGAGAACCTGAGGAAGACATCCCACATCACCAATAAAGAGAGCTGCTCAACGAAAAATTGAGATATTTAACAAGAATTATTGCAGAAAAAAAAGAAATCTCTTGTAATATTTCAACAAATAAGACAAAGAGTACAAGTAAATTGGCTCGATAGATTTAAAGTGTAGAAACTGACTTGTAGACACTCCGGCGCAGGCTGCGGCGGTTCTGCGCCAAACCGAACGACTGCTCCGGCGTTTCGGACGAGGCCGACGATATGGGCGCGTCATCTTTAGCCGTCGCGCCGGGGCCCAAAGTGTAGATGGGCAACGTGGAGTAGGGCTTGGAAGGAAGACGTATCTAAGGGCAAGTTTGACACATGCACATTAGTTTCAGTTAAAGATTGGAATATTTTTATAGGGGGGGGGGGGTCAATCGCACAAGATTTTTTTAAAATTCCTTTAAACTGTTGAGCCTGGTGAGTGACATGGGCGTCAATGAATGCAGTAACATTAATCCCCATGGGAAAATTATCCCTGCAAAGCTTCAAGGCAGAGATTTTGCTGCAATTTACACCCCCCCCCAACTCCAGACTTATTCGAGTTTGATGATTTATGTTTTCAGCCAACTCATATTTTCCTCCCAAAAAAATACATAAAACTACGATAGTTTGTTTTCATCCGGGCCCCACCCCATACCCCCCAAAAAAAAAATCCTCAGGAATGTATATTTGATAAAAATAAAATGTCAACATTAATCAAAGAACTCGTATTTTAAATTTAAAAAATAAATAAATGTGTTACCTTTGTGGAGCACTGTGAGCACACTGGCCTGGAAAGAACCGCAAAATCAAGTGTTTACTTTTCATCCTCTACACCAGCTGGATCATTTATAAAAGGGGTGCCCTCACCTCTTGCAGAACTGGCACGTGTACGACCAAGTGAAGAAGGAAAACCTCTTCACGCGACACGAGAAGCAAAGCTAAAAAAAAACAACAAAAAAAAAAACAAAAGCCCCCAAAATATTTGCGTTAATACATGAGAGCAAGTGAACCAATGTAAAAAAAAAATCCAAAGTCGCAGTGCCACCTTTCCTTTCTTGAGCGCGTTGTAGATGTCCTTGTACTGCTGGAACTTCTCCAGCTCAGCTTTGACCAGCACCTGGCGGATGTGCATCACCTCCTCCACCGTCAGTGTCAGACACTCCACTGGGAAGCAGAACTCCTCCTGGGGTGGGGGGGACGGCACACATCACACGGGAAATTAGCAAAAAAAAAAGCTCAACCGGAACAGAAACACCACCACCACCACCCCGAGAGCATCTGACAAATCCAAGGACAGTGGGACGACGCCAAGACAACTTTCCTCTCGCTCAATTAATCGACTGTTTAGTTGACACAAGTGTAATTTGCTCTGTGCCCCGCATTCAAAATCCAAATTGCATATCATTCTTCCTTATTGAAAGGAATGGAAAAAAATACACAACATATTGTTATGATCATGGTGACGGAACAAATAAAAACGTCAAGGCACCTCTCTAGTCGTCCAAAACTAAAACAGGTCGATTAATTGCTTTGATGGGCCTCACACATGACATAGTGACTGCGGACTTTTTTTGTGGATTATTTCGACCCGTTTACATTCACGGTGGACTCACAGAAAAACCATGCATGCTTTCCCTCCCCCCCCCCCCAATGCATCTTTTAGAGCCTCCAATTGTTTTTCAAGCGGCGGCGCACTCGTCAGCGGAAGACGTGAGACATTTGTAGCATGTTTTTTGCATTTTTTTTTTTGAGCACGCCACAAATATCCCGTGAAAGCAGATGGTGATGAGATAAAGCGCAAAAAGTGAAGTCCAGATGTGACTTTTTTTTTTTTTTTTTTTTTTAAGGACATACCGTGCCCTGAGTAGAGCTACTGGCATCTTGGACCTGAACCACACAAGAAGGGACAACGACATCAACAACATTCCCGAACAAACACGGGACCTTTTTGAGTTACATAAAGTCCACGTTAACCAAATAATGCCTCTCGGATGACAACATAATTACAGTCAGAGCACAGCGATTAAAGCCCGTTGCGCTTCCTGTGTCTATTGCATCGACGTCTCGTGATTTTGAAGACCGCTTCATGCGTTGTAATGCGAAAGGCGCTGCGGCGCATTACAGTGCGGACGCGCGATGAGCAAAATTGGGAATGTGAAAATATGCCGGGGGGGGGGGGGGCGCAAAGGGATGAGGCGCGGTGGGCGTTGTTACCTTGCCGGCGTTGTCCATCAGCTGCAGCGTGCGAAAACAGGAAGTGGGCCGGTCAATGAGAGTGGTTAGCAATAGCAGAGAACACGTTACATGTGACGCCCTAACAGTTACCGCCCGTGTTGTTGACATTTATTTCGACTCCCCCGGGGAAACGTTTACACGCGGTGCAGCTTTTGTCAGCGACCGTCTACGTACCAGAGACTTGGAGCTCTGTCTGGAGGGGGCGACGAAAGGGGCGGAGTTGGCAGGCGCTTCCTTTTCGATGGAGTGGCGGCGCACAGGAGCCGCCGGCTGACGCTTGTCCGGCAGCGGCGTGGCGGACACTGGCAGGAACGCCGGAGGAGCTGCACACAAAAAAAAAAAAAAAAAAAAAAAGCGTGTCTGACAAGGACGTTCCAGTTGTGGACGAAGAGCAGTGCAGGTTTGAAAGCGACATAAAAAAGGAGCCTGCTTACATTTCTTGTCTTTGGCAGAATCTGGCGAGATGTCCATCAATGACGCGGTGGCGCTGGAGCTGCTCCTCGTCGTCTCCTCCTGTCGAGAAGGTTGCTTCAGGCATACGTCTACTTTCGATAGTAATCGAGTCTCGCGCTTATGGTGTCCTACGTCCGATTCGGAGCTCTCCAGTTCGGCCAGCGTGGGCGCCCGCAGGATCCTTTTCCTTTGGCTCAGCTGGTTTGCCGAGCCCCGCACGAGCGACTGCGTGCTGGTGGCCAGCTTCCGGGGAGCATCTGGGGTGTCTGAAAGACAAATGGGGAAAACGTTCCGTGTCATTTTCAAGGCGTCTGGGGGCCCCGCGAATGCTAATATTAGCATTTAGCTCGCAACAGAGCAGCTGCGTCCCAACGATGGTAAATAGGGTTCTGATTTTGTTTCCTCGAGAGGCAAATGAAGCATATATTGTCAGAGAGGCATTCATTCTTGCAAAAAACTTCGTGGAGAGACCATGTCTGTTGCTGTTTTGGTTCTATAGTACAAATACTCAACGGATAGTTGAGAAAACTCATTCTTGTCTGAGTTAAGGGGTTTACAAAGGGCATGTGATGTTGTGTACCTGAGGTGTAGCACAGATCGTGAGGAGTGCTGATGCTTTTCCCGGCACCTATGAACAAAAACAAAAAAAAAAAAATCATCAATGACACAAAAACGAGTCACGACTAACAAATTGGTGCGGTGAATACTGTCAACAAGCATCAGGGAGTGTCTAAAGGGAGGTGTGCGCACACACAAGGAGGGATGCAGCGTATTCCCGTTTACGCATCGGGATTGAGGTCGTCGCCGCGTCGGGTTGGGAATCATTTATCTCAGGCACATGGCTTATGTAACGGGAAATATTCCTCAGGGGGGTGTGGATTAGGGCGGCGGCCGGCGCAGACGGGGG